TAAGAGATGTATATTATCATTATCACAGTTTGATTATACTAAATTACATTTTCAAAATTCAAATATTCTACCACTGCGTATATTATACATTAACAAAACATTAAATATATTCCCAAAAGATATTCAAAACTGGCAAAAAATATAATCAGTATATCAAACAAAAGCTGCAAGACAAGGGAATTTAAAACTTGTTATTTTTTATTATTTTTTTAGTAATAAACATATAAATATTAAGTCAGTATCAAAAAATTAGATAACTGATATAAAGGAATCAGACAGTCTGTTTAAAGTCTATACATAAAATAAAAAAATATAAACATGTATGTGCTGTTAAAATATCCTGTTAAAATAAATTGAAATTGCATAAAAGGTAAATGAAGGAAATATCAATTAATTTGTTTTATAATATATTTAATTTTGATCCACACTCGAGTAAACTTGTGGATCTTTTTTTCTTTTTTATGCAATTGTGTTATTTTTATATTTTTATTCTTTATTTTTACATTGAGTGTACTCTACTTATTTTTTTGAATAATTGTAAAAAAATAAAATAAAATTCGCAGAAGACTCAGCCTGTTCTAAAGGATTAACGAACTTTAGAAACATTATCTAACAAATTAAATTCACGAAAGACTCAGCCTGTTCTAAAGGATTAACGAACTTTAGAAACATTATCTAACAAATTAAATTCACGAAAGACTCGGCCTGTTCTAAAGGATTAACGAACTTTAGAAACACTATCTAACAAATTAAATTCACGAAAAACTCAGCCTGATCTAGATGCTTAATTAATTTTAGAGACAAATCTAACAAATAAAATTCACGTAGGACCCAGCCTGTTCTAGAAGCTTAGCAAACATTCGAGACACTTCTAACAAATAAAATTTTCTGTATTGGCAAATTCCAAATGAGAGATAATATAATTAGCGGCATTCATCGTTACGTTTACTGCATGCCACTCGATCAACAAGCTGTACAAGTCTATATCTAGAGAACTACTATTTAAATATTTTAATCTGCTAAGTTACTGGTTTGGGTTGACTTTAGCCTTATTTCTAAATAATTCCGCTATAAGTCAACTTTCTTGATTACAGAAAAACTACAGACTTCTTTATCATTTACAAATTTATATATTTAAGAACATTTATTGAAAATGAGAAGAAAAAGTTTTTTGTTCATTTTGGTTGGGGAAAGTTCAATATCTCTAACCAAGTTCAATTTAAATTTGGCAAGTGCGGTTACTTGAAGATGATTTGAAGAAGGTTACCATTATATTTACGCGTTTGGATACTAAAACAAACCACAGTAACTTTCTTCTGGACAAGAACAAGAATGTTTACAGCTATTTCATACAGGATAGGGCTATATATTCTTGTGTGCATATCGTTTTGACGTTATTTCTACAACTTTTAGGATATTTAAAAAACATATTACTCTCTTTACCGACGTATGTCAAAGTTTGATAATTATAAAAACAGGATTATGGAATTTGCCCATTATTTTTCGACGGAACTAATATGGTAATTTAAAACTATACATATTACCTAACAATAAAAGTTGTTTGCGTTGAATTTAGAGTGTAAAAGATTAATAATTTCACTAAAATAAATTATAAGCCTTGTAGCACTATACGGAACAAAATGAAAAGTATATTCTTTTGATGAGTACGATATTCTTTACAAATTACTAAACATAGTTGAACAAAAACTTCTTCGAAGTGCTTACACATGCTGTTGTTAAAAGCTATTTAACATTTCAGGTTCTAAATCTGTAGGTGACTTGACTTATAAACAATATAATGCTTCTGTATGTACGGTTAGTGATAAACTTCAATGTTTAGAACAAATTGTCTTACTTTGTACAGACAATTCTATGAATATCACGCGTATAGTAATGAGATATGTTTACTAATGTCGTGAGCTCATTCTTCCCTAAATAAGCACTTTAAAATCAGAACAAACTAGTCACGTCATACTTAGATTTCTGAAGCAAACTCTAAATATACATAACTACAAACTTTAAACCTAGAAAATAATATTCTTCTCTTCTGTTTTGAATCAACGTGAAACCAAATCTCGTGAAATATGTCGCTTATTCATTCTTTACATTTAAGATTGCCTTTTGTGTATTTCTGATATGCTCAAACAAGACATTGAGATAAAATAATATTGCTTTACCAAACTATTACCACTGATTAAATCTGTGTAGGTTCAGCAAACTAGTTTATTTTACCAGTGTATTAAATTTTAAAGTGACATTATTGCAACAGATGCGATTGCGTTGATTTTACTCTACTACTTGTTATAGTTTAGTGTTGACTTTTGATGTAGAAATTTCATTGTTTACAACATGATACAAAACGAGGCAGTGATCCTATCTTACAAAGTATGGCACAAATTTCCATCAAAAAACGCGTTTGACTATCCAAAAGCTAATAGGTTTAAGAAAACCTTTTCCGAATTGTTAACAGGGAATCTTTGAATTTCTGGAAGTCTAAATAAACACAATACACTTGCATACAAACGGTAGTTTACTTACCACGATATCTGAAGGAACCATATTCTGCATTTCAAAGTTCTGTTGAGTAAAAAAACATACGAACTCATTAATAAAATACAATCAATTTCAAATTAACTTACTAATCCGGGCTTACAAAAGTTATAAAAACAAAGAAGATTTATAAGTAATGTTTCACGAATTTACTTTAAAAAATAAATATATACATTTTTTTAGAGTATCACAAAAAAGTAAAGCGTATTATGTAAAACGTACATAACGAGGAGCTAATTAAAAATGTTCTACTTGCAATGTAAAAAAAAAAGAGACTTAACTGAAACTTACCGAGTTTGCGACGAATATCTCAAGACAGGAAGGATGATGTTTCCAACCTACATCGCGTCTATTGTGAATAGTTATTAAAATAGGAAAAAAAAAGTTTCCAAAATTTTATGGTTACTCTTAACAGCAATATGACTGACTGCTGACTGAACTGTCTATGTGCATCCCATAACACTAAAATAGGACATATTTTTAGTGTAAGCCTTCGCATTCTTTATGAAATAAGTAAATAGAAAATTGTGCCCACAATTATTTTGTCTGAATATAAATTACATTAGCATTGAATGTTTACAGAAATGTGTTTGCTCTGATTCACCTTGAAAGAAAATTGAGTAGCACCAAATTAAAAAAAAAAGACATCTTTTGAAAATGAATTTTCTATTATGAAAAACGTACTTAAAGATAAACGTTTTTCCCCCATTTAAAGATACAATGCTAAAGATAAAATTCAGTAAGTGATATTGTTTGATATTTAGCTTCAGTGCAATAGACATGTATTCCACAGACACGGAATACTTCAGATTATCATGAAACTTTCATAAATGATAGAGTTGGATATAATGAACAAGGGGCCGTTTAAATTATTTCTGAACCATTATCGTTTAATCTCTGATATGTCAGTGATTAATAGCAATATAACACACACACACATATTATACGAAATATACCTACCAATATTTAAAACAAGTAAAGGTTATCTGCATTCAAAACAAAATTCTATAAGTTTTATTAAAAACACTATCGGATTCCACTGATAATAAAAAAACTGACATCATTGAAGTTAAGGTGAATAATGATTGAAATTTCATAGAACTACTGAACTTTACACATATAGTGTGAACATGATATCAAATGATTAGAAATAATTTATTAAGCATATGGCATAGTTCTAGCCATCCGTACCATAATAGCGAGTTGTATGTAAGTTCATCATAGGTTGAATGTTGATAAGACCAATTACGTTCAAGTATTACATTCTCCTGAGCACTGACACAGGATGGTGCACATCAGTACTGCTTTCTTTCCTTCTGCAGCCATTCTTGTATCCGCGACAGATGAGCTATGTGCAAGCATAGTTGGCTTCTGGTAAAGTGCTTCACAGCAGCTTCCAGTTTTTAGGATCAGTCCAGTTCCAGCCAGAAGGAGAGGGTAGTGTCATCATTCGACTGTCCCCAGATATGAACACCCTGGTATGTGGTATGTCTTGTATGCTGCTCAAGAACTGCTTTTGTTGGTGGAATGTTTCAATCTGTCTTCCCTTCAATGCGAATATCTGTTTGTGAACATCATTGACGGATTCAGCAATGCTCGTTCAGTCGTACATAAGGATGGTGAAGAACTCAGCAATGCAATACACTCCTGCGATGCTCTTTGGTTTCCAACATTTAGATAAGTGCACCAGTGACTTCATAATACATTTTCCACGTATCCAACGCTGTTTTCTGTTTGTCGAGAATACAGAAGCTGTGTTACAACCTGAATATGAGCTAAAGACGGTGAGGGATTGAGAATTAGTGGGTTCAAGGTTATTTGCAACTTCATGAGCAGATATATAACACAGGTTCTTGGATATGCCAAATATGAACCAGAGGTCATCCACTTCTTACTCACGTACCACTGAGATGGCTAGGACAGCAAAGTCTGTGTCAGTTGTGCATGCAATGACTTTCTTGAGACCAGCTTGGACTGCATCAGCAACAGAAGCATGAGCCTGTCATTTGCCTCCTCATGGTTGCATGGCGTAGGACAAATTATATTTTGACCATGTAGACGGAAAACATTGGGACCTATCATTGTTATCACTTGCTTCTCCGAGTTCAGTGATAAAATGTTTATTACCAAAAATTAATACAGGCCTCGTTTGATCAACCCTCAGGAAAGTTTGCTAAATCCCTAGTATGATTGTGTTTTCAACAACTCTCCTCCCTCTACCGTTTCCTCGTGAAATTCGCGCATTTCATTTGAGGTTGTTACTTGAGTACTTCTCCCAGACAATGTCCATCCTTTGTACCTTGAGAAATTGTATCTGGACATACGGCAGAAAAGCCTTTCAGTCTCCGAAAGTATGATAATCAGCTGTTTGATTTAGCATGCAAACAGTGGCGGCACGACAGGGGGCATTTGCCCACCCAACTTTTTTTCTTGCTTCACAGTTTGCTACCCCCAAGAAAAACGTCAACAAAATTTAATCCTACATATATAAAGTAAATGTAAAGTGTATAACAAGAAAACACTTTCGCATGCGCACTACCGTTTTCGGGATTTTTTTTTCTCGAATGCTAGAAGTAAACCAGATATATCCAACAATAATATGTATTGCCTTTAACCTTGCCCCCTAGTGGCACAGAGGCATGTCTGTGGACTTACGACGCTATAAACCGGGTTTCGATACCCGTGGTGGGCAGAACACGGACAATTTAATGTGTAGCTTTGTGCTTAACTACAAACAAACAAACAAAACCCTTTAATCCTACTTTTATATACTAATGGTATTACTACATTAAATAATTATTTATTTAAAGAAATAATGCTCGAAAGAACACAGAATAATAACATGCAAAAAGCAGAATATGTCCCATAACTATCACGATTTTTCTGGCTTTCTAGCTATGCCACAAACAGCGTTAGAAATTAAGCAAAGCTGGACGATATGTTTCACAGGGGAACAAAAGTACTAAAGTAAAACCTAAACTAGACATTGTTTACTGAGGGAAAAAAAGAATAATACGCCATTTCAAAGGTGGGACCCTTGGCTTTCTATTGGTTATACATAATATAGAATTAAAAGTCAAAGAAAGCTATTGGCAAGCTCGGAAATGCAGGATTGACAGGTGGGCGTGGCAAGAGGGCGCTAATTTTCTATTTGATAGCTCTGTAACTAATTAATATTGGTGGCTATAAGTATTAAGCTTTGCCTGAGCGATGACAATATTATACTGCCCCCGTAAAAGTGTTAAAAAAGACGTAGGCCTACCTTTCTCCGAAACGTTGATAAATAAGGTCTTCAGACCGGTTTTGGGGTAAGTAGTTGTAACAAGTACAAGCTTGTTGTGTACCAAACTATCTTTGGCGCTTTTACTTTTCATCTCAGTACTTGTTGCGTGGTTGTTCTTCAAGTTTCTAGGTCAAGAGGTCGCAGGCATCTTTAAACAATACATTTTACTGTCTTTAATTGTTACATGAAGTTGATGTTCTGAATGCATGTTGTAAACACATCAAATCCTACTATTGAGAAAATGGATATCAGAAATTTTGCAAAATTCCTCGTAAATCACAGGATTTCCAAAAAGATGAATCTATCAAGGAGACAGGTGAACCAAGCGAGAAGCGCCGAAGGACTGAAGACGAAATATTCGTACTTGAAGATTCGACAGAGGATAGACTATTGAACCAAAGAGATAATGTGGATACTTCTGATCAAGAACATGGAGATATTTTGGGCGAACCCGCTAGCTTTGAAGAATTACACGAGCCGAGCGGCAGTAGTGGAAAATCAACTCTACCTAAGTTGACTCTTGGAGTAGGTGGTCCGACTGACATATCCCAAATGCTCGACAATGGATCAATTCGACCTGGTCTTAATGAGCCCTTCCCCTTTCCATAGACACATGGACGAAAATTCACACCTGAATGGTATAAAACATATCCTTGGCTTGAATATTCTGCATCTACTGACAACGTTTACTGTTTCTTCTGTTGTCATTTTACTACAGACGCTAAATATCAAGGTGAGCAAGCTTTTGTGTCTGAAGGGTTCAATACATGGAAAAAGTGAATGGTGAATTGCCAAACAACAATATACTTCTGAAACACAAGCAGTCTGATGCACATTTGAACAACGTGTCCAAATATAATGCTTATTTAGAATCAAAGTCTTTCTTTGAGAAAACAGTAGCAGATCGCGTGAAGCTCTCCAGCTGATTGTAGAAAAAAAAATAGGGAATATATCAAAATACTTGCAGATACACTGAGGCTTACAGTTGTCCTAAATATAGCTCACAAAGATCATCGTGAAATTAAAGCTGAAAATAAAGGAAACTTTTTGGAAATATTACAGTTCTTATTCCCATATCCTATATGAACAACTGTGTGAAGGACCTAAAAATGTCAAATATATACACTACAGTGTACAAGATGACATTTTGGATATGTTCAGAGATATAATTTTGAACTAAATAAAAGAAGTTCAGTACTTTTCAATCTTATTCTATGAAACTAAAGACCTATCCAAACAAAAAAAAGAGCAGTTGAGTTTAGTACTTCATTACTTTAATAAATCAGAAATCCATGAAGAATTTCTTGGTTTTGAAGTCGCTCATGAACTTGATGTATAATCTTTGACCAAATATATTCTGCAGGAGTTAAAGGACAACATACTTGATGTCCCAAAACTGATTTATGAAAGATATGATGGTACCGCCGTCATGAGCGACAAGTGCTCTGGGGTTAAAAAAAAAGACAAGTCGTACCTCAAGCCATCTGCTTTCATTATTTTGCTCATCCTCTTAATTTGGTCATTGTAGAAAGTGTGAAAGCTGTTACCCCTGTGGCTGACTTTTTCTCAACGCTTCAGAATTGGTACCATTTTGTAACTGGTTCTAATGTTCACACACAGTGAATTGCTTTCCATAAAAGAAAAGACATGCACCCAGATGAAAAGCCCGTATAATTTAAAACAATATCCGAAACACAATGGGCTTGCCAGGTGCATGCTGTAAGAGGAATTGTAGCAAGGTTTG